GGTTAAAAAATTAAAGTAGAATGGAAAATTTAGTCACTTACATATTATACATGTGAAATTGAACTTTGTAATGTTATTGGTGATAGCCATAAACTTGGTTATATACAATTGTAAAATAATCATCACATTTTGATATAAAAAATTTACTTACTAGATTATTCATCACATTTTGATATAAAAATATTACTTTCTAGATTACAAAGATATGAGCTATAGGTTTAGGCTAATGTATAAAGAATATAGGAAAGAAAAGGTAGTAGGAAGGAAGGTTCTTTCTTTATGTTCTTTTCAAGTGGTTATAGAGGGTATTATCAATTATTATTTAATTGCATCACTATAGTAATGAAAGAATGCCAGAAATTTAAAAAACAAATTTCTAGATATTATCAATAATATTTATTTCTCTAATAGAAAATTTTAAGCTTATTTAGAAAAGAATGTTTTAAGCTGGATTCTATCTATAGTAGTATTTATATATTTTTAGTATAAAAATTCTAAATTATATATAAATAAAAATAATCTTTTGGCTGAGTAAAACTTTTTTATATTTAATTTAGATATAGTCTTAAACGATAAAATTCAGATATCTATTGGAGGTAATGTCTCTCTCTGTGTACATAGATAAAAATATAAGTGCTTAAATACTTGAAGAGTATGATAAAACTTAAGTTATATGTAGAGAAAATTAAAATGAAATAAAATAAAATAAAGTGACTATAATTTATTTTATTTATATTTAATGATAAAAAGAATGTGTACACAAACTTGTTACTATTTTTGTTCACTTAAGCAAACTTGTAGAGGTAATAGTGAATATATCTAATATGCTTGGATATTCTAGGATATTTTACCATCTAACAGTTATTATTCATTTAGATTAATCTTGTATTTATAGTTTATAAAAATATTTATAATTTATAAAATTTCCTAAACACTTTATTCTACCATCTAATGGTTCATATATAATAAGATTAATCTTGTTTTTATAAATTATAAACATCCATTCGATCAATTGGGTTAATAAATAAGAATAACACTACTATTAAATAAACCAAGTGTTGTTGCATGCATAAATTTAAGTGTAAGAAAAGCCATTTATAATGCAAAATTTTAATTAAAATCATTTATAACTAATAAATATAGATTTTCTTTTGGTCAAGCCAATCTATTCTTTTAGACTACCAAAAAATCTCCCACTTTAAATCCATGAAGAAAATTGGAAAGAGCAATCTAGATACCAGAGGAGGCCACGGCAAAGTCTTGCCCATGATTAACATTGCAGGCCATGACCACTCCAACAGACTTTCCCAAGCAGTGTTGAGTTGTCATACCTGGCAGATATCTGGATCTCAATCAAAGGCAATGGGAGGGTGGAAACGAAATTTGCTTGAAAACCTCAAGCTTGGATATGTCTCCCTCTTTCCATAGAGAAAACCATCGCAGTTACAAGTTAACATAAAGTACCACGAGTAGAGGTCTTCAAGATTGACCGCATTATTTCCAATGTGAGACTGATCTCCATGAGATAAAAAACCTTACCGGTCATCCAAAACCTTCATGTTATCCCCAGCCAGCAACCAAGTCAAGCCATCAAGTAGGGGAAATAGGCAGTGATACTCCCTCCTCAAGAATTTCATCAATCATCGTTATGAAATTCGAGGCCTCCTTTGCAATGGCCGGATCGTCCGAGGCCTTGGACAGTGTGGTCTCACTCTCAGCCTTTGAAGCTCTGAAGAGCTCATGACTCCCACAGCTCGTCCCGGATGTCATACTCACCCTCTTGGCCGTGAAGAGCTCCGTCGTGCAAAGCTTCCTCACCTTCTTCCAGTAGGCGAGAAAGACATGCTCCTGTAATTCATGTCAATAGAGACCACATAGGCAAATTCCGTGCTTGAGAAACTCCTTAGCGATGGCTAAAGTGGACACCATGAATAGAGGGCCCTGCTGTGCCGCGCTCAATCGTCCAGCAGCAGCCTGTAGGTTTTTAAGTGATTAAGTTGGTTTATACAATTTAACTTTTTGTCATTAAGCTTGTTATTATTTTTTATTGATAAGTGTTATTAATAGTCATTATTTGTGACATTTATAATAGTTATCCAAATAATGTCATTATTATGTTTAGTTGACTAAATGTATGTGGCTCCTGCTTCTCACTTAGTAGTAGTGCCAAGCGTAAGTGAAGGAGGGGTCCAAATTTCTACAAGAGCTTCTGAAGTGTGATGTGTGGGATAAAAAGAATGGGAGCAACAATGGATGGGCAAAAGTTGATATGCTTGACATATCACACTGAATATACAACCAAAAGGTTAAACTAAGGGTGTGGCACCTGGATCTCATGAGGAGAAGAGCATGTCACCTTGACATGGGATGCCCGGGAGATGGAAGTGGCCGTTGCTTGCTTGAATGTCTAAACCTTCTTCCAATTTTATATGTACAGGCATTGACCCCAAAGACAACGCGAACTTGTACCTACCGGCACCTAAATGACATTTTATAGCCGAACGGTGTCTAGAGAAATATTCTTGGCAAATCGAAGCTATGAGATGTTGTCCAAGGAAAAAAGAATCACAAACATATATATACATTACCAATTGCGGTCATGAGGTTCTGGATAATCCAAACCAAGCTTCTCAAAAATCTCCCGCTCTGTCTCACAAGGAATGGATTCCGTACTTGCTTTAGACTGCAAAAACATAACGTTATAACAAGATAAAAGAGAAAGAACAACCATACATCTTTCTTCTTGCTTTCACGTATGAAGAGTCCTTGATCGCTCAGCTTGTATCCAAACTTCACCCGAGCCAAAAATCGAATCCTGCCAGACATTGTTGCAGTTAGCAAAGCATGGAAATGCTATCAAACGATGGAACTTACTTTCTGTTGAGAACATCGTTCCCAGTAAAGGCGAGTAGTGCAAAAGCGTACACATGCCTTGGATAAACCTGAACGAGCACGACATTGCATCGGAGAAACATAGCGAAAGCTTACTTTTATGTCTATTCTTCGATAAGGTTTGCCTTGGAAGTGAAAAATCCCCATAAACATATCGGGTTGAGTACCTCCCTGTCCGAATCACATGAAGCACACTAAAGAAAAGAAAAGGCCGAGTTTACCTTTCGAGCATTTGCATCGACGCGAAGGCCATCTACGATAAACTCGATTCTGCGCAGTTCTTGGACGAGCCTCGCCAGAAGATCCTGATGGCTGCATAGCAAATGTAAGTGAGAGGAGTGCGTACAACATCGCAAACTCGTAAACCTGGAACCATCTGGATGAGTGATGAGAATATCAACGTCGCCACAAGTAGGCTTGCCTCTTCGATAAGAGCCTGCTGCGTTTACCCAAGCCTACAAGAATGACGCAGTGATAAGCAAGAGGAGAAATGTGTAAAAACTTACCCCCGGAGCAAGAGTTTCAACAACACCTCGCACGAACTTTTCGGTGTCCGCCACTTCGTCTCGAGGAATTCGCAAATTAATATCGTCATAATACTTGACGCCCATGCGTTGCATAGAAGTCAGGGACGAGTAATTCTCCAGGTCCTTGACAGTGCGAAATCCTTTCTTGTACAGCTCTCGTGCCTGAATTGCTCCGATACCCCACACTGAGCCAAGAACTTGTATCTCGCCAACCTGAACCACGAAAAAGAAACACACTGATCATCCAGCTTCACCCAAGTAATAAGTGTCGGAATAAAAACCTGCGCTTTCAGATTGTCAAGCTTTTGAAGTTGTCCAGTTCCCAGAATCTCCTTCACCATTTTTACAAGGGATTTTCCCACCCCATACATTTCTCTAATCTGCTCGACACTCGTCACTTTGTATGGCAAACTTCGCAGCTTATTCACAGTCTACAAAGCAAAGCTTTAGTACAAGTGGAAAAGCAAGAGTATCCATTACCTTTCTGTAGATCAGGGATCTCCATTGGTCTCCTAAAACGTCCTCGTAGAGGTGCCACATCTCAGCCAGCGGATTCGTCAAATGCTCGTTGAGATTTGGACTCTCTTGCTTGCCGTAGAAGGTCTGCTTCCGCCTTAACTTCTCCTTGAAGTTCATGTTTTCATCCTCGTCCGAGCTCGCATCCTCCTCTTCGACAGGCTCCTCTTGATCGTCCGCAGCAACGGAAGTTCCAGCGGTTATAGTTGCGTTTTCTTCTGTCTTGACGAGAAAGCTTGTGCCATCTTGTGTCGTGTCCAGAAACGAAGAGCTTTCTCTCGAAGTTGATGTGATCTCCGAGGTGGTCTTATGCTCCTCTCCAGGATTTGTGACATGCGGAGTTTGGAGCTGGCAAGTCCTCGCTAGATCTTGCTGTTCTAAAGCGGCCGTAGCAACAATGGTTGTCTCGGGGTCGCGTAGAACAACAGACGATTGATAGCTTTCGGTGGAGACGAGAATTCCTTCTGTCAAACATGTTTGAAGCCAATCATATGGAAGAAACAACTGAAAAATAAGAAAATAAAGGAGAGTCTTGAGAATGAATGAAGAAAGAAGATCAAAGTGTTCTTACCTTGGCGAGATTTTCAGCGTCTGGAAGCCCATCCAGAGCTTTCCTATTGACAGCCAGGACATAATTCAAGTCTCGTGACACTCGCTTCTTGTTTGGATCGGCAATCGTCCCTCCCAGGCTCTCAAATCTCTTCTTCCAAATCTACCAGCACCCCGCGGGGTTTATCTTAGCGCACAGCGATCCTACATACCTGCAGCCTCATGCCATTCACTCCGCGCTCCACAAACAGGGCACAAATTCCCGAGAAAATCCCTTCCTTCTTCTCTTCCTCCTCTCTCCCCTTGGGCCGGAGCTTGGAATTCCCATTCGCAAAGCATTCTTTGATAGAATTCGCGCGCTTCCTCGTCGATTTGCTCCTCTCCTCGCTCATGTAGAACCCTAGGGCTTTGCGGTGACAGCTTAAAGGCGAAGATAGATTCCAATTCGTAAGATTTTCACCGCGAAAATCGCGACCATCGGATCTACTTTAAATTACAACCGTTGGAATTTGTATATCCACGAAAATCATGACCGTTGGATTCTAGAATCGTTGGATCAAAACTTGTTCTAATACAAATAACTTGTGCTTGACAAGTTCTTCAAGTTTTCGAGCTCTTTGCCTTGCGCAATGCCTGGATCAATATGACAAACCTGAAGCAGCAAGAAAAATCATTCCAGAGAAACACATACGCACACAAAAAAACCGAAGAAGAGAACAAGTATGTACCTGATAAGCTGCTCTCTTGAGCGTATGAACTCCACGTTTTATAAGCTTTTGCCATCCAGTTTTCGCTCGTAAAGCTTTCACGAGTTCTTCTGTCCGCTGCCAAAGGACGTATCATCAACGAAACAGCAAAGCATAGCAAAGTTACCTGTGATGGATCAAAAACTAAAAGGAACGCTTCTTCCGGCCCGCCTAGCTTCCTTCTTCTTTGAATCCCCACAATTGTCCTAGAATGCCCCTGATGCTGAAAGTAAAGAGGCCTGCAAGAGAAAAGTTTCAATGAGCACAGAGAAAATCTCATCAAAGAACACGCAAAGAAATACTCACGGTCGTCTGGAGATGATAACCAGCGGCTGGCGATTCTCTACATGGTCCCTGTCCTCCTCCGTGTAATAGTTCCACACCCAGTCCACAAGCCGCTGGTGATTATAATCCTCGAAGTCACCCCCACAAGCCTTCGGCGATGGCTTTTCAATCCTCTCAAACTCATGCGACCGTCCTGGCTGATTTTTAAAGCACACGAAGCAGAGATCACAATCCTGTTGCTTGCTGCTCGAGAACCTCGGACCACGAATCGGATACATCCCGCAAGAATCACAGTGAGCGTTCCAGTGCTGAACTATACCTCTCTCGGAGTCGTTTTGCTGCCTTGGCCCGGCTCTCTTCGCAACCCTCTTGGATGGAACTTTACCACCGGTCGTTCTCGTCAGTGCCTTGAAGTCGACGATTCTAGCACGAACTCCAAACAGTCTCAGCAGCGCAGCACACTCTGTCGTTCCAATCCATTTCTGCGAACCGTATATGGCACCGTTGAAGTGCTCGGCTCCATCCGAGTCGAATCCTTTCGACCAGGCGATCTCGAGCCACTGCTGCAGAGCTGCTATCGTCGGCACAAACCCGGCTCCTCCAAACAAAGCTTTCCTGTAGGCTTCATCTCTCGCGAGGAGATAAGAGCTAAGCATCTGTATGTTCCGCCACCCGCAGCCCCATCCCAGATCATGGCTAGTGCTCTGATAATGATCGATGAAACTCGTAAGTGCGTAGGCCGAGGGCCTTTGCTGCTCGGCCACCACGCACTTGCGGAGAAGATCGATGAAGCCTTCTTCAACCGGAACAAAACTATCTCTTTCCTGCGAAGCTATGACTGCCGGAATCTCCCACGGACAACCATCTCGAGAGCTGGATGGACGAGCAGCAAAGAACTGTTCCTGCTGTTGCTGCTCCTGCTGGCTACTGCTACCGGTATCTAGAGGATTCTCGACGAGCTGCCAGAGTCGAAAGTTTCAATCAAAACTGGCCAGAAAACTGGAAAAACAATTCGACTCACGAACAGTGCTCTTCTCACTCTTGGCACTCTCCCTTTCCGAGCAAAGTTACCTCAAAGTGTACCGACTGACGAGCATTCAAGGAAAACAATGAGCTCTCCCATTCTACCACACTATTAAACAAGCGGTCCTAAAACACTGGAAACGTTAGCGAGAGAAAAGAAAAAAAAATGTAGAGAAGAACACAAAGAAAAACAAAAAAATGCGGGAGACAAGGACGCACTCACTTGCGCTCGGGCAAACTCCTCGTCCCTCTCGATCTGCTCCTGATCCAGGTGCTCATTCACATGCCTGATACCCCAAAAATCGAATGAACGCCCACAACCGAAGCTAACTCGCGAGATCTTGGGATCTACTAGATCCCAAAAGCCCTGCGCTTACCGATCGAGATCGCCATCGTCCACCGCGCACCCGCAAACGGGGCAGTCCATCGCTTCCCGCCCGCCAAGAGCCCTAAACCATTTCAAACCAGATGGCGATTCATAGTTCTTACCGTGCAAAATGTAACGTTTGCCGTACATAAGGTTTCAAAGATAAGAATATCGCACGAATAATCATGTCGTACAACCCATCGATTAAGAATGTCCTTCGAACAATCATGCCGTACTACCGCCCAACCGATGGAGAGCGCATCAAGCGCGGGCTCTCGGGCGGCAAGCTTCCCTCCCTGCTGTTCCTCACCGCGTTCCTGGCCATCCTCGGCGTCCCCGGCGTCGTGCTCGCGCCATAGCTGGCCCGCAGCTTGGCATCCACCGACGCGCACGTCCTCGCGATGGTTTTGTTGACAAGCCTCTGCGCCGCGTCGGAGAAGTAGCCCCTGCCCGGGCTCCCCATGGCCGCCCCTCGAGCTGGCGATGGAGTGCTGTAAGGAGCGTGCCGGATCTTCGTCCTCTCGCGGATGTTCCTCGACGCCTCCCTCGAGAGGCTGTGAGCTCGAGTGTCCCGGACTGGCGGCGCTGGGATCTTGAAGTGAGGACCATCGCCGCTGCCACCAATCCCGACCGGAGTATCCTCCATCTCCAGCCTCAGTGGAGTCCCCTCGATCTCTCCCCAAGTCACGAACGGCGAGGAGTCCACTCCTGGAGCTGGCGATGGCGTCGAGACGTAGCTGTATCCCGCCGTCCCGGCCTTGGGCGGAGGCTTGGCGTTGTCTCCGAGCTGTGGGGTCTTGCGGAGCTCCTCGAGATCATACCTCCTCCGCGCGGCCGGGTCGAGCGGCGTGGAAGATCCGTGGTGAGCAGGAGTGTAGAGCATCGAGAAGGACTCCTCCTCCGGGAGTTTCGCGTCGAAGATCTTCTCGTGGAAGCGAGTACTACGCAGGTTGACGGACTTTGGCGGACCGTGGAGGCGTTCTTCCTTCTCGGCCTCGGTGAGCGGAGCGTCGTCCCTTTGAGTCGAATCATACATGAGTAAGTTCTTGGGCGTGTAGCTCCAGGTATCCAGAGTACTGATCGGCTGGTTGGAAGTTCCATAGCCATCGGTCTGTCGATCCTTGTCGGTCAGCTGGAGCGGCTGCGTCGACGACGAGATCGCCAAGAACTTAAACTTCTCCTCCCGCCTCCTGTTCACCTTCTCGATGATCTTGGAGAAGCTCTCGTTGTCCTCGCTCGTGTACCGCCGCATGAACTCGTCCAGAGACACCGAGGTGTTGATCACCGTCCCCTGCTCATCCACCAAGCTCGAAGACGAAGATGGAGCTCCAGCAGTCGTGGATGGAGTAGCAAATCCTGGCGTTGGCATCACCGACCCTGGAGTAGCGAAAGTTCCTGTGTGGAACAAGGGCGTTCCATCCTTGCCGGACGGCCCAATCCCCCGTAGCCTCTGGATGATATTGAGCTGGGCCTCCCGCATCAGCACCGGATCACCGCTCCTCACCGCCTCGAGCCACTCGAGCTTGTTCTGGAGCTTGGGGATGTCCGGGAAGAAATCCCGCTCCACGATCCTCTCGATCGCGGCAACGTACGTGTCCTCGTCCAGCACTGCGTGAGATCGCTTCCTGGGCTTCCGTGGCGGCGGCGGCCCCATGATCGCCCTACCGGATGTCGTCGCCACGGCTCCATCCAAGCTCTGGACGCTCGGCGATGGAGAGGGGGGCACGATGAGCCGCGGCGAGTGCCCTGGAGACGCTAGCATTCTTCCTATCGATCGACCCTAGTTACCTGTGTTCGCGCACAGAGGCAAGAACCCTAAAATCAGAGATCCCAAATTTTAGGGCTCTAGATATTTAAGTGGACAAAAGGCTAAGGAATCATTGTGCCCTAATTTAACATTAAACAAAAAGTGTAAGCTGTAGTACGGCGTGATTATTCGTAGTATATCCGTTGCTTTTTGTTGTACGGTCTTATGTTCGTAAGAAACAAATTTCTTCGCTAAAAGCTCTCTAGAAATCATAGTGTTGCCGCAAGATGGAGCTCTTGAGTGAAGCTACATACAACTAAAAGCGTGACGACCCTCGATCGATCAACGAGTCTCTCGCACGCCAGTGACAACATCATCTCTCCACGATTGGAATGGACATCCCAACGCACGACCCGCTCGTCTCGTCCACGCCACACCACCAGCGATGGCGGCTTCCAAGTCTCAGGCGGAGGGTCCCTTATAAAGCTCCCGGCTCTAAACCAGCGAAGAAATCCAGATTCCAGATCCAGCGCCAGAGAGATCTCATGGCGGCTCCGGCAACCAGTGGAAGTTCCAGCCTCCTCATCGCTCCTCCTAAAGCGGAAGATCGCCAAGAACACGTAGACGAAGATGTCAAGGAGTTTGACGACTTGATCGCTAGATCTCTCGCTAGCGCGCTCCGCGGATCGGCCGACCTCGCCAACATGCTTCCAACAGGCACGCTGCTTCTCTTCCAGACCTTGGATCCGATCCTCCGGCGAGCTGGGAGCTGCCAGGACAAGACTTTGAGTGCCGCCTTCCTCATCGTTTGCAGCGTTGTGTGCTTCGTCCTCTCATTCACGGATAGCTTCGAGGCGCCCAATGGGAAAGTCTACTATGGATTCGCGACCTTCCGCGGGATGTGGACTCCGCAGATCGAGCAGCCGTGCCCTGGCGTGGATCTCTCCAAGTTTAGGATCACTGTTGGTGATTTCGTCCATGCCTTTCTCACGGTTTATGTGTTCCTCACGACCAGTGCCTTCTCCACCGATGTTGCGAGTTGCTTCTTCACGGTCCCGGACGAGGTTGTGAGAGCCGCGCCTTCCATCACGGCCTTCCTCGTGAGTAGTGTGTTCTTGTTATTCCCAACAACGAGACATGGAATTGGATTTCCTGTGAAGCCTCCAAAGACTACCGCATCCTCCAAAGCATGACCTTTAGCTGCATTGGAAAGTTCACTCTTATCTAAGATATTTGTTTCTTGAGAGCCAATTCCATGATTATATTGATTCATTCAATGTTTCAGATATCAAAATAAAATGTTCTTGTATTAAATAGTTATTTTATTTACTATTATATTCCCTAAGATTCTCTTATTATATCTTCCCCACCAAAGCATGATCTTCACTTAGGTTAAAAGTCCACGAGCGATTATTTGTTCTATGTGAAAGAAGTCCAAATTGATTTGAAGGCGAAATAGTGTTCAACAATCAATCTCCACCTTTAATATGAATTAACATTTAAGTTTGGCGTTATTTAATCAGTTGAAAATCTGATCAAATCTCGAGTTTTGTGTTCGAATATCAGGGCTACCAGTTTCTCGAGAGGAACTTCCCCAAAAGCCAAGAAAAAAGAGCTTCTTTCCTTCTGATTACAGGCAAAGTCCAGCCTATAACGCACGACTCCGGAGCTCGATACGCAACGCAAAAAATTTGGAGAAAACGTGCGGGCAAATTCTTTCCTTGCTTTCGGGCTTTTTGGCTTCCTCTCTTCAAGTTTACTCAAGGGACTCTCGTTTTGCTCCTATCGATCTTGTCATCTCCTGGGCAGAGATTACAAATACCAGGAACATGTGATCTCTTTTTGGGAGTGATCTCGTTATCTACAAAAAATTCTCATCTCGATCAGGTGAGCACGCTATTCGATCATTCGATGGTCTTTTCGTGAGTTTCTCGGGATCAAATTTCTCTTCTTCTGTTCTTTCAATGGTCTCGTTTCTTGATTCCATCATTAGCTAGCGGGCTCCTCAAAGATCAAAGTGTTCCAATTGGGTCTTTCGGGACAACGCCATTCTTTAGGAGAATCAAACATCCAAGATCATCCATGGACAATGCCGGGGTGACGCAGAGGCTCCTCCCAACCAGCGGAGCCCCGACTTCCTCGTCGTCTCCACCGGACGATCACGATCACGCCACCGACGACGAGAAGCTCAGCGACGACATCAAGGAATTCCAGAACTTCATCTCGAGGACGCTCACCACCGCCCTCCACGGCTCCGCAAATCTGGCAAACATGCTCCCAACAGGCACCGTCCTCTTCTTCCAGATGCTCGACCCAATCCTCTTCCGCGCCGGATCCTGCGAGAACAAGCTCCTGAGCGCGATCTTCCTCCTCGTCTGCGCGATCCTCTGCTTCACGCTCTCCTTCACGGACAGTTTCCAGGCCCCGAATGGGAAGGTCTACTACGGCCTCGCAACATTCCGAGGCCTGTGGACTCCCCAGATCCAATGCACCATCAATCTCTCCCAGTACCGGATCAGGTTCTCGGACTTCGTCCACGCATTGCTCGCGGTGTTTGCGTTCATGACCACCACCACCTTTTCCACCGACGTTGTCAGCTGCTTTGTCAAGGTGCCCGACTCGTTCGTCGGATCGGCCCCGGCGCTCTCGGGCTTCCTCGTCAGTGCCGTGTTCTTGTACTTCCCCACGAACAGACACGGGGTGGGATTTCCACTCACACCGCCGGGAACTTCTCCTCCTCCTCCTCCTTCAACGGAGACCGGTTCTTCTACGGCAAATAAAACTGTTTGAAACAGTGCAAGCTTGGAAATCTGGACAGAATTCTTAGAATTTCCATCAAAGTTCTTGGTATTTTGGGATTTTCTTGTGTGATACCGATCTATTTCAAGGTGAGCGTCCTATATATTGTTTCGGCAAATCTCAGTGTCGGTTTGGAATGATCCGCACGAAAAGGTCCAGTGTATAGTCATAGAAACTCCATGCCACACTGTGGAAAAGCCGTAACATTTCTGAAGTTTTTGCCAGGCATCTCCAGTACTGCTGGATTTACTGGAATTCGTGCTCTATGGGAAAGGAGGAGATTGGATGGCGCCTCACACCATACCTGGAGATGCCTGGCGGAAACCTTGGGGAAGCTCTAAATTACAGCCCTTTGTTATCAGCTGAAATCTCACTTAATCCATCATTGACCTTCTTTAGCCGATTGTCCCACAAATCTTTCAGTGTATTTTCATGGATCTCTTGCTCGATTGTCCTTCATATATGGATAGCTAGTTGAATTCTACTGCAGAAATGTTAGGTAAGAGAAGGTTAAGGATGGATTATGTACGTGAGGTTTCAGCTGGTAGTGGAGACGGACATTGACAAGAACTTCCAGAGCTTCATCCTAGACATTTCCTCCAGCCGCAGGAGCAGCAGTCTCAGTTGTAGAAGCAGGGTTGACGGTTTTTTGCTAACAATCTCATTGGTGTTACATCAAAGGTAAAGTCGTTCAAAGCTTTAGGAGAACACATGTTGCTCATATCTTGTCTAGACTGAATGTCGCTTCCAAAACCTTGTAACTCAACTTGGAACGAAGGATTCTCGCTGTTTAAAATGGCCAAAACTATAGCGTGACCTTTCCCCATGTTGATCAAATAGTGAAGAACTCCAAGAATCTATCTATATGTTATTTTTTGAGAGTCTCGTGGTGCCCACCTTGAAGCGTGAGACTGATGGATGCAAAAATGCAATTTGGATTATCCATGCCGTGTCTTATTTGTCTCTTTTCCTAGCAACAGTAAATATCAAGAGAGTTTGCGACAACAGAACTTTCTCAAGTATGTCATAGTTTCAAGCTTGGGAAAACTCAGGGTTCCTGGCAAAATGAGATGAACGCTTTTGCTTGTTTAAATGAGAATTTGTTCCACGTAAACTCCTTCCACTCAGCCGACTCGGGATCCAGCTCCAGCAGCTCAGATCAAACAGCTCCGAAATCGGCATCACTTCGGCATCACCCACATGAATATCCTGAACATCATCGGCCGCCTCCCCAGCTCCAGCAGCACGATCCAAAGCTATAAACGTCCAACTCCCGCGTTAGTGGCCCGAGACGGTTTCTTCCGGCCAATTAATAATAATTTTCAATTCTACTATAATAGACGACATCGATTTGCCACTGCTCCTGAAAGAGAGCAGTTTTTGCGATTCCAACTATGCTTGATTGAATTTTACACAAGTAAAACTGAAAAGGAAAGGGTGGAGACCATCCACCTTCTTGCATCAGAAAATACTATTTGGAAAATACAGCTCCTAACATTTTCAAGAAAACCAAAAACTAAAAGAAAAAGAAAAGAAAATTGTAATATATTTATCTTTTCTTCAGATTGGATTTTGGGATGACAGAACTTTCTCAAGTATGTCATAGTTTAAAAAACTCAAAATTCCTGGCAAGATGAGATGAACGTTTTTGCTTGTTTAAAATGAGAATTTCAACATAAGTCCATGTTGATGACCCGCAGCAGCTTATCCCAGACTTGATATGGACTTCTTATGGATTTATGAAGACCTTATGTAACCCACCGAAATCTATGAAGATCTTTTCGAATTGGTTTTCATGTACTTGAGAAAATGATCATCCCTGCTGGTCACCAAGTTGATAACTATGCGGGAGCCTAACCTAGACTTGATACCAACAGAAGACAGGTAGCCACTAGAAGATTCCGGCAGCTCAAAGTTGATGACATGCACGACCTGGAGGATATCTACATTGATCACCAGCACCTCGAACTGTCCATCTAGAAAATCACAATTGATGTTCCCAACGACTCCCTGATCCATGCTGTTGTGGGTGGCACAGACGCTGCGCTCCCTTTGACGAAGCTCCCTGAATAATTCATCTACAGTGCTTGAGCTGTTGCATGCCACAGCAATCTGTCCTACGGAGCCTCTCCCATAGACAGCACAACACTTCAGCTTTGTCCTTGTCCTCAACTGTAAGGTAGAATAGCCATGAAAGGCATCAGACAGTCCTATCTACTGCTGGTGTGGAGTTGGGGACGTGCAGGTTCAAGGATGGGAAGCAACTCATCACAAAGGTTTGTGGTGGCAGTGAGGTACTCACAAAGTCGCTGGTGTTGCCGTTACTGGAGGAAGAGAGGGAGGGGTAGCTCAAAAATTGAGGAGTGGTTCCTTGTCCCGTTGTTGTTTGTATGCAGTGCACTGCAGAGTGAAGTGGAGGATGGTTTCAATGTCTTTGGCGCATAAATAATAGATCTGGTCCTCCCAGGGTAACTTGCATCCCTCCCAATTACCAGCTTCTGAGTGCAGGTGATGTTGTCCTGTTTGATAGCATGCCAGGATTCTGTATCTGTAGTGGTGTTGTCCCAAAGATCAGTAGATAACAATACCGATAAGCCGTTACAGGTTGATGGCCGTGCTGGAATTTTGGTGAGTAGTGCATATGAGATTGAGGATGTATTGTATTGTGTTTTTCCACACTTGGAGTTCAATGAGGAGCAAGCCAATTAGGATCCCAATTGCCACTTTGTTGCAACCAAATTCAATATTCAAGAACCAACCATGTTATTCGTGGTAGTTCAGGGCCCCAAACCTCCCCAGCATATGTGAGGATAGTGATCACTTTTGTGTGGTAATACTGTCTACATTCATCCCATCCAAAAATACCAGCTTGCTTAAGGTCACTCTGGGGTGAGTAATATGCTCTTGTGGCTGCTTGGATGCGTTCTATTGTCTCGACCTTCCAGGGATTCTTTTGGCAGACTATATACCCAAGGTATTTATAATTTTCTACTTTGACCAGCAAGTGATGTTGGTAATAAAGGTCATTGTCGTCACTTCTGTGTTGCAGATGGCCAAATACCATAACTTGTGTTTTCGTAGTAGTGCAGCAGAAGGTTGCAAGCAAGTCTCACACCTGCAAAAGGTGCCTCACACCTAGAACTGTTAATTCCGAAAGACAACAAGACCTCAACCTAGACCTAGACAGTTCTGGTTTGCATCTCCTAAGGTGTTGAAGCAGTGCATTGAAGCCATAGTGCATTTCTTTGCAGTGAACACCAATCTGAGCTCAGTGACATCAATTGCCATTAATTAAAGGGATGACACCAGAGGATCAAAATTCCGAGGTATATCAGAGGGACTAGGACACAAATGCCTTCAGAAGCACCTGCTTTGTCATTTTTTATGGCTCCCGCCTGAATTGAATAAAACCTAGAACTTTGCAGCTACGAAAAGGGCATGACATATTTGGGCTTAAATGTGAGCTAGCCAATTGGCTTGGAGAATGGCGGAGCTGGTGGCCTCTATTTTGGTAAGATGGTTGACAATAAGGTCGCTAGTAGTGGTCCCCCCCCCTGGCTGGTGCCCCCTCTCGGTCTGTCTTGCGCTTGGCATGGGGGAGGCACTTCAACACTGACATGATCTATAGGAGACATCTATATTTGCTTCTACTTCAAATTGAGACACAAGTAGAGTAGCTTAACCAGAGGGTGGTATGCCTGATTTTTGTATTAGTCCCTTTGGGACATTAGAAGATGTACATATATGTTCATTAAACACAAATTAACCTCTTAGATCACTTGGACTAAGAGTGTAGTGATGAACTCAATCAATTGGAGTGTAGAAGCAAAACATTTCTTTGTGTCTTTAAGGCATTGAGTGTGGTGGTTTTTGGCCGTGAGCAGTCATGGTCTACTGCCTCCTAGATCAAGACACTAACTTCCATGAATTGGCAACTAATACCATCCACTCGTCCACTGCATCACAGATCTTGCTGCTACTCCTTCTGAACAATGCAAGTAGTGGCAGCAGCCACACAAGCAACAGGTGTACCCACTAGAAATAAGTTTATATGTCATTGCCATGAACCCTAAGACCAGCTTCAAGAAATATAACAAAAAATAATAATGCCTTTTTTTGAGTGCTTAGGATATATACTGTATTTACCTTATGATATTATATATGTATATATATTTACAGAACATACACTTTAAATTGTAACATAGATATGGATAAATTAGAATTTAGAAATAAATGATTGATAACTGTTTTTTGAATTTTACTTCAACGTGATAATTTGATAAATCACATGATTTCAAACTTAATTTATATGAAGCTTTTTGGTTTTCTTGGGATGGTAGTGAATACACCTAGAATATGGTTGGATAATCTAGAATATTTTACCATCTAACGGTTGTTATTCATTTAGATTAATCTTGTAATTATAATTTATAAACGTGTTTATAATTTATAAAAATTCTTAATATTTTATAGTATATTATTTTTTATTCTACCATTTAAATGGTTAATATGCAATAATATTAATCCTGTGTTTATAAATTATAAACTTTTATTTAATCAATTAGATTAATAAGTAAGAATAACACTACTTTTAAGCACACCAAGTGCTGCTACATGCAATGCGTAACAAATTTCTTTCATTTTATTTATTATAGCATTATTAATAACATTTATAAATAGGAATTGTTAGTTGAAGCTTCAAAAACCTATGTTTTAAATTTTGTTTGGGGCATCATATTAGAAACAGGAAGCTCTCAGATCCAAGTAACGAGCTTCTGCAATGATAAGTATGTTGCAAAGCTGGTGACCCAGATGTATAGATATTAACGATGTGAGTAGTGTATTTGACAACCCAAGTTGAAACATAGGAATTTAGATAGAGCTTGGAATATCTTCTGCTTGATACTCACAAAGAAGGTTGTCTCTTGGAATGCCATATTTGCCAAAAGACTGTAGCATGATAAAGCCAAGCAGCATTTTCAATTGTTATATTGATTGAATCCCTAATACATAATCATTAGTTGACATGGATTATAAATTAAGGCATTGAGGTCATTGTAATCTTGATCAAGTCATTTTCCTTTAAATTCTTCTTGAATTTCATT